ATGTATGTATACATAGATAGATAGATAGATAGATAGATATATATATATACTTATACAACATCTATATATATATATATATATAGAGATAGTTAGTATATAGGTATATACATGCAAAAAACCTTTGCGATTGTACATATTTCGGTTGAGTGTTTTGTACATCTATGAGATTTGCGATGAGGCAATTATTGAGCTTCTCACTGGCATTGCGGTCGCCAACAACCTGGCGGCTCTTTGCCGGCCCCACAGACTCCAGTGTCTTCAATTACGAGTCAGGGTTCAGGGTTAGTTCGTCCAGATCCAAGATAACGGGATTTTGGTGAGTTGGAGCGCGCATTGCAGGATGCAAGGCGTTGGGCACAAGCACAGAGAAGGGTCCTAGGACCCGTCGCCCACGCAGCAGTTGCGCAAGTGCTTTGTAGTGATCTTGGACTAGGACCTCACTTCCGCAATCCCGTGCCCGACGTTTTTCACAGCGTGTTTTCTTATAGGTGTGTTGTTTTCTAGCTGGTGCCCATTGGTGCCCCTCCCGGTAAGTTGTTTCCTGGTTTCAACCCGAAGCTGGAGTCCCAAGAGACCACACGATGAGCTAGCAGCTTACCGTGAATGGCAAAGACACAAGGAAGAGGCCAAGAACAAAGCGTCGCCGAGCTCCCCCACCAAAGAAACAGAAGACTGAAGATGCGAAGGACATGATTGAATTTATCAACTTTGCTGACCTGGACCCAGACAGATGTTACAACCCTTCGGATGGCACGTGGTCGGAGCAGGCCACTACGAAGAAGAGAGATTTTGGGAGGGTGGCAGAACGCGCTATTCTCAGCATTGCCGCCGAGGGCAACGTACAGCAGGCTATGCTCCAATGCCATCAGGAAAGTATCTTCCCTCACTGGATCAGCTGTATGCGAGTGTGATTTTTGCGAGGCCAAACATGACCCATATCTGCCTAAAGAGCTACGAATTGATCCAAACTTCATGCAAATTGCCTTGGAGCCGTGCTGAGTTATAATGCATCGGCCAAGGCGGACGCCAAGAAACGATATGCCCAGGCGGTACATGCAGCCAAATGTCTACATGACTTTATTTTCCTTCCCTCCATCAATATAAAAAACAAACTACTGGTACACTCCCAGATCGTGTTAGCGATCTTGCTGTGTTGCTCGGAATCGCAGATGTTAATTCCACTCACTCCTCGCAAAACCAAGCAATTTACGTTATAAGGTCCTGCGACAAAGTTTCAACATTAAAGGCTCCCTCTATCACAGAGTTCTCGTACTTTCTGATGCAGATTGCTCCAACGAATACTTTTCCAACTAGCATACGAATATGCTCCTACACTTTTAACTCCATTGCTTCGACATGCCGGCTCTCCTGAACAGATATCTGCATTTCCAACAACCCATGCAATCGTAAGCTGCATAAGACATTACGACCCAGGCCAATCAGAGGCAACAGATTTTGACCGGCCACTCCCCATACCAAAACCCCATCAAATACACCATGACATATATCATCATCCTACGGAGCGAGAGGTGGCGGCAGCACATTTTAGATATTTTGGTTACACAGACCTTTGGAGGACCCTACGCCCTACAACCACGAGCCCAAAATAGGAAAGCTTGGGGCCAGTTTAAAGGTTTTACGTTGACCAGCTGATAGGGCTGCTGACGAGTAGTTTCACTTGTGGACTTGCTGTCCGCGACTGGACTTGCTCTGCGCGACTGACAGAGAGAGAGAGAGAGATTGCATTTTGTTGCTTGCACTCAGGGGGAACATCCAACAATTAGTCCTTCATGTCAACGGGGGACCTTCGGCACAGTGGTAGAGTTACCCTGACAGGCCAAAATCATAGAATCCGAAAGGGGGAATTTCAGCCTCTTGCCATTCGTTGTAGCTAGGGCACACTGTCTTTTACTATATTGGCATGGGGGACTGAAGTAGCACCTGATGCATGTGTTTCGTGAGAGTGCATAGTCATCAATGCTTCGTTATCGTACACTTTAGGCATTAGCCGCCATGATGACTTGCATTCGCTTGTCACTCCCCACACACCCAATAAAAAGTATTGGGTGGGCCATATTGGCCCGGGGACGCTGACCCGTCCCCATGCCCGGGAAAGAGAGAGAGAGAGAGAGAGATTGCAGGATGCGCGATGCCGGCGTCGTCTTTGTGAGCAGGTTTTGGTTCATGGTGATGGGGCCTTGCCCGAAGTTTGAGATCAAGCCTTTACCCAAACCCATGAAAGAAAGCTGCACATCCCAGATGCTGAACGGCCACGCCCCCAGCAGGAAGAGTCATTCCCAGAGCTCAACCCAATCTAGTTTTCCCATTCTGCACCGTCGAGCCCAGCGTGCTCTTTGTTCCACCAACCAGCTGTCGCCACACAGCGAAGGAGTCTGTTCTGAACATGTCAACACGTCGCCCTGGAGTGCAGTACAGACTGCTCGCCGAGGTACCATTCATCAGCCATCCTCCTACGTTTTTCACCAGTGCAGCCCTCAACTTCCAATGCTTCGTCTTGTACACGAAGCAGAAACCCATAAGAACGACGCTGGTGTTCTGTTGTTTGTTGTGATGTGGGGTCAGCCGTAGTCTGCCCAAACGTCGCCTGGCTCGTCCGTGCATGACTAAGTGACCAACCTTTCCTTGCTCGGCATGTGGGGGTTGGGAAAAGGCTTTGGACGCACCACGGAAAGAGTCGGTTGCTAATTACGACCGCAGAAGGTTTCGGAAGAGGCACTTGGGCACATGATCACACCTCTGCACCAAGCCCCGTACATGGTGAAGCAGACACACCGATCTCCGAGGCCAGAATCCATGATCCATGAGCCCGACCCCACACACACACCTTGCCGGCAACTTCAATGCATCAAGAAGGTTCGACAAGCTTCTCGTCCTGGCCAAGGGCAGGGTGTGCTACTTCGGCCAGGGCCAAAGCAGGGGAATGAAATGCCATTTGGGGCGGCTGTATTTTGCACAGATTTCAGGTATTTCTAGCTGAGGCTTTCAACCACCTTGCCGCTTGAAGGTTGATGGGTAGTTTGAGGTCTTAGCATACGTGGTGTGTCCGTCTTTCTTCGGCCAAGAGGCTTCGGTTTTGAACTTTTGGCTCGGATGGGTGTTGTTGACGTTGCACACGACCGAAGGCATCTTACCCGCTCGCGCTGCGAATTATCAGATGTGTCATTTCGACAGCTTTCCGACTTTGCATTCCAGAGTTTTCAGGCCGCGCGTTTCCGATGGCAAGGAAGTCCCCTCGCAGCTGACATCTCCCGGCTTCGCAGAAAGAGGCATCAAAGCCATAAGTCTCGTGCGCTGCTCGTGGCAGGAAAAGCAGATGCAGCTCTCCAGCATTTCCAGGACATCGGGTCCATCTGGCCCTTTGCGCAAGCGGTGTTTTCTGCTACAGCTCTCCAAATTGACAGCTCAGCACCGGGACAGTGTATTCAGTTTAAGCACGACGTCCAGCGTTACATCAGCCCTTCGAGCTTCCATTAAGTGCACTTTGAAGCGTTCACAGACAGAAGCCTGGGATGGTCAATAAATGTGAGTCTAGTCTAGCATGTCTCGTGAGTCTCGTGCACTGAGTGTGTGTTTGTGTGCACATGAGTCCCAGGGCATTCCGTCACATGGAAAATCCGATTCAGAAACTTCTACTACTTGTGCTTTGGATGTTGCCGGTAGTCTTTCTCAGCCTTAGTGCCATGGCTGCCGTAGTTTGAGTCGTCGCAGTGGAGTAATTTGCCAGGTGTCAAGCAGTTGGCAAGTTTTGAGTCATAGCCTTCAGAGTTTCCTGGTAAGTCAGATTACGATGCATCAGATTTCAAGGGAACTCGCGCAGGATGAATCTGGTCGTGATTCTGGGTTGATAGAAATGCCTTTGTGGTGTCGAATCGAGGCGAGGGCGGTTACTCAGGTTACTCGGTTCCTCCCTTCTCTCAGTTCACGCCCGTGAAGGGAAGCCTGTTGAAACCTCGGATCGGAAACTAAAACGCGTGCATTGCGTCGGAGTTCCCTTCACCAGATCACCTTGAACTCAAAACCCTGAGCGCAAGCCTCCAGCAGCGGTTGGGCCCTAGACCCAAGCCCCAAATAGCCAGACGCCGAAACTGCCCAAAGCCTTACGAGAACCCTGGCTACCTCGCCAGGTATCCCAGCCCCTCCGGAGTCAACCCGGCAGAGCCGATGTCCCGAATGTCAGGGGTTGTACTGCTCACAGTGCTGGCGCCAAGGTCTCTAGACTCTAGCAGCTACATGCAGCCGTCATATGTATCATCGACTTAATTGATATGGCGTCCCACCAGGACTTGTGCGAGGCTCCACCGCTGAAGATCTGTCGGCCGTGATTATAGTTATGTGCAGATAGAGTGGTTGTTCAGGTTCATGATCCGCATCACCAACGCAGACTTTGCCGAAGAGGGGCAGGCTTGGAACTGTCTCTTGCCAGAGCTCGTGTCGTAAAGGTCGACATCCGAATTGCCTGAAACCTTGAACCCAGGCTCTGTGTCCCCTCTCCCTGGTGTCTTTGCTGTCGTTGCGGAGGTGTTCAAAGACAACCAAAGCACCGGAACGCGAGTGGTCCGTTCGCGACGCCCCGCAGATACGAACGCAGGTCGAGAGGATCTGCGATTCCTGGGATGCCATATGCAAGGAGGCAGGCGGCAGAAATATTGTACGTACATGTATGCTTGCATGCATGCATACATTCTCATACCACCCAGAAGTGAAATGTAGTGACCCTTTTGGTGTCGAGGCAAAGCCAAGCTTGTCCGGAGTCTTGACGCCTGGAGCTCGGATCCGGCTCGGGCGCGGTCCGCAGCCGGAGGCGCATTTCGGGGATGGGAGGGCTCCAGGAAAAGCCCCTCAGCCTCACCAGGTGCGGTCCACCGGAGGTGGCTCCAAGGGCGTCGGCACGGAAGCAGGCGAACGTCGGGGTCGGGGCGTTGGCATTGTCTTCGTACTTCGGGTGCCGTCTGGTTTCTTCAATCGCGGGCACGGCGAGCTTCTTGCAGAGGTCAAAGTGTGGAGGGTCAGAGAGGGTGGGAGGCGGATAAAGTGTTGCCCTGTTAGCGTTTGCTCCATTTTCAAGGTGCGGCGGCACTGCATGCCTGCTCTTGTTTGAGGGGCACGACTCCACTCCATCCCACCCCTCGCCAACAGAACAAAGGACGACAGCAAGTAGTGGAAGGCAGTGGACGGGCTGATTCTACGCTGTGCCATCACTTCTTTCAGGAATTTGTGATTCTCATGACGAATGTTTTATTTTCAGGGGTTGGGGCAGCTTTTTGGGCACTTGGGCAAAGAAGCAGCCGCAAATGCACACAAAGGTCTCGGCCACAGGAACTAGGGTGCTTTTTTTTTTGACTGGATTTTTCAGGTTGGCAAGCTCTTCCTTCGTGCAGTTCGGAGCAACATCAGGCAGGCAAAGATCTCGTGTTTGTCCAGCCCATTACAGCCTGGCACCAGGGTTGCGACACTTCGGAAAGTCTTTGGTCCAACTGGGGGCTGTGTGCCTTTTGGAGGCTATGGGCCTCAGGGGTCAGGAGTCGTGTTTTGTGTGTGGGCCAGGAACCCCACTGCCTTTGCCGGACGAGCCTTGCTGCCAGAGCCCCGGTGATAGACAAAGCGATGCATGTGTGCTTCTCTGCACCCTCCGCATTTTCTGAGGCTGTTCGGTCTGCTGGGAACATGTGAGAATTCCCTACATACCTGTTCTAGGTAAAGGAGTTGGGGGTTTCGGGTTGTATAGAGTCTACCCTCTAGGTCCTAGGTCTGGGCACCGACTGCGTGGATTGCGGCAGCTAGCTGCCTTCTGTCATGTGAAAGTGGTCCGACGATTTTGACCTGGGTTTGGTGAGGGCTCGGGTCTGCTGCCAGGACGGCCTTGCTTGTCAGCTTCGTCTGCATGGCGTATCTCGGTGCGCGGAAGCGGAACCAGGACGCGAGAAGGGGAAGTTTGGAGTCCCATGAGATGCCGAGGCTCTGGATGTCGTAACTCGCAACCGTAATGGCCGTGCATGAGCCCATCCAACACGGACACCCTTCATGAGCACATCAGCCCAAGCTTCCTTTAGAATAGTGACTAGCGTCACCGGTGTTTTGAGGCCCTCTCGCCAGTTGAGATTCGGAAGCGTGACCTTTGTGCGTGGGGCTGGGGAAGTAATCCGAAAGCACCTTCTGAACCTTTCGATGCGACCCGACAAGGAGAATGTCTTGAACTATCTTTGGGCGGTGATGTGGGCAGAGGCCTCGGACGCAGCACGCCGAACAGCCTCGAATTGTGAGGGCGGAAACGCTTAAGCCGAATCCTTAAGCGTTGAGCCACCTTTCTCAACCTAACATCCGCTACGGTGAGAATCGTCTAGTCACACTACGAGTATATTCGCTTGCAATTGCTGTGCAAAGCGAGGAAAATCGATGTTTTCGGCAAACCACCGGTGCACACGATAGTCCCCCGGCTTGTCACCTGGACCAAGTAAATGTGAGTCACCTGTGAGTGCTGCTTGTCTGAAAACCTTGCGAACTTGAGAGTGCGCGGTGATGTATGTGCCTTGCTGAGAACTGTTGTCCGTTTTGTTTTGTTGGTTCACCGAATCCAGAACCCGAAGCCGGCAGAAATACTAAAAAGGCAAGGTGGTGGCGCCCTCAAAGGGGAAACACATCTTTCTTCACGGATTGACACTTTTGGGTGGCCAAAACCCCGGACTCTTCGCGAAAATGCTTTTTTGCTCGGAGCTTGGTCGAATATTTACTCAGTGCTTCCTGATCTTTAAAGGGTTCACGGCCGTTTTATTTCAAGAATCTTGCTCTGGCCACAGCTTGGGCGTGTTTCCCACTTTGTCGCGTTTTCTTTTTAAGTTGCAGAGGTAGATTGCTTTCAGTGTCTGTCAATGCTCAAAGCCAAGGCTTAACCTCAAAGGCCTTCGAAATCCTACCCCAAGCCAGCTCGGAAGGCAAAACTGTGGCCTAAACCCCCAAGCCCGCTCAAGTTCCAGGCTCAATTCCAGAGCCGTTTAGGCTTTTGGGGTCTGCACCCTACGATCAAGGGCGTCCGAATCCAACAAATTTGCTGACATGCACGACCTTACGATTACGGGTGCCACCTCGAAGAATAAGAGTCACTCTCAAATCGATGTTCTTGTTTCCCGAACGCGCCCGGCTTCTTGTTCTTTATTAATCTTGTAGGCATTCCAGAACTATTTTAGTATTTGCTTCGCCGGGCTTGCAATCCTTACGTTCGGCCTGGGGGTTCTAATGGCGCAAAGGTGCAACAACTGCCGGCTTTCCTTTGCATCGGCGCTGTTCCGAACTTCGCGCGCGAGCATAGCTGCTTCCGCAAGGAGGCTCAACGCGCAGAGTTCTTCATGCTAGGGTCGAAAGGGCTTCAGTGCTTTCGGAGTTGCCTTAGATATGCGTTTTGGGTAGTTGAGGCTTATGATCCAGAATATTTGTAATTAAAAGGCGCTACTGCTCCCATTGGTCGAGTCGAGCCGCAGGATCTTACCTAGCCGTTTAGCGCTTGACCTAGATCCTTGGCTCCAGCATCGAGCCCAGTGGGGGCAGCAGATTTATGTTGAGGTGTGGATTAGCCTTTGAATATCGTTTGCACTTTCAGCCTCATGGTTCCGGCTTTGGTTTGCGGTTCACATCGGGCCGCAAATTCCAGGGTGCTGCATGTTGCACGACCGAAAGGTCCGTCAGCAGACCTTACTGAGAACCTGAATACCACTTCGCCCGCGCCGCAACCGCAGCCCCGGAGCGCGGCCCCCCACGTCTTGACGTGTTGCCCTCCCTTCCTCGCCACGCGTGTGCGCCGGCGACATGTCGGAGGTCGAGGCCTGGAAGCTGCCGGGGCTCACTGATGTGTTTTTTTTGCGTTCAGGCTTGAGATTTGTTGAGCTTCGCTTTTGAGGTTCTTCAGTCCAGCTTCTTCACGTGATGAGATCTTCCGGGTGATTTCGATAATGCCGATTGTCTGGACAGTGTTAGCTGAGGGGGGCAGTCGCGCAGACAGCCACTTCTTCCAATGCTGACATTCCTCAGCGTGTGTTGTGTGCACTGGCCTGTGCAGAGGTTCAGGCTATGGGTTCCTGTGGTTCGGGCGTGTTGGGCATGACGGGATCAATGCTTCGAGCTTACGGCTCAAGGCGCCCCAGGTTCTGCCATGATAAGTAGAGACTCCAGGTACTTGGGCCCGATTGCAACTGCTACAATGCCACATGTTCTGGATGCAGCAAAGATCATTCACGTAGCAGCGCCCCCTCCAACAAAAAAGGAGAAGGCTTTCCGGCGGGACAGAGAAACGGGTGAGCTTGTGCTGTGCAGGAGACCCTCAACCGGATCAAGACCCATCGCGGGGTAGCGGGCTGAGTGCTTTATAGAGGTGGGGGCTCGCCTGCTGAGGTCATTTCTTTGGCTTCCACTCGGGTTGGTCGTTTCGGGGCAGTCAAAGACTCTAGGACTCTAGAGGTTGGGCTTTAGGGTTGAAGGTGCGGGTTTGGGCTTTCGGATTCAGGTCTCCGGCATTGTCATCGTCAATGCTGAGTCTGCCGGGTGCTCGGCGAGAGGGTGCAGCCGAGGGCTCCAAGCCTCCAAACTCAAGCCCTGCACTGCATAGTAGGTTCCGATCCGGTCGACCTTGGACAAAAAGCAGACCGAGCAGTACTCCGAACTGGTTTCTCAGCTCGCGGCCAAGGCACCCTCGTAGCCCTGTCGCCTCATTAAAAAAACTGTTGTGTTCGCGCCGAGTTTGTTTACGAAAGTGTAGAGCTTCTACGGGCGACACCTTTAGGTTCAGAGGTGGATAGAGTGACACAGGAGCAGGAACTGCCGGATATTTGTAGCAGCATCACTTGCTTTGGGTCTGAGGTGGTGTGGTTTCAGGACATGTTTTCTGGTGTGCGGGTCCTGAAGAGTCGACAGAAAACTTCGGTCGAAAGTTGAATCCCACACTGGAAGAACTCCGTTTTCTAGCCCTTTGAAACTCGCCGAGACCTTCAAGTTTACGGCTTCTTGCTTCTAAGGTGCAAGGTTCAGAGGTTATGGCCATGCTGGCCATACTTCAGCAGCGGGCCGCGTGTTAAACCTGAAAGCGTAAGCCGCAGCAGGCGAGAAGCGTGGTGCGAGACCTGGACCCTATGCACCCTGGCATGGAATGGAGTTCAGCCAGTGTAAGATCTAAAGCATAAGCCATGAGCCAAAGGAGCATGGGTTATGTAGGTCTTAGTCGATGTTCGGGCCGAAGAGGAATAGTCAAATGCAGCGCAGGCGAGTAGATCAGACGGGGTCAGGAGCTTTTCGTTCCACGGCACTATTTTCCATTGAGCTTCAGTATTTGTGCAATGCATGTGCACATGTAGATTGGCCTCCAGCTTCATCTAGTGAATCTAGTTCTGGTTGCTGGGGGCCGCGACCTGTGCATTGGGAAGCACTGCTGTCAAGTTGTTGGGCCAATGGTTTTTACGGTGCCCTGTCCCTTTATTGGCCCGAAAGCACGCGCCAAGTCTTACATCCGAGACTGACGGAAGAGGGTGCAAGCTTAGGAACGACCTCACTTTCCTCCGCATCCGTTCGAAGAAGCATGTGGGATGCCCAGAAGAGCGCAGGCAGTCAATGTCTGTTCTGAAAGACAACAGGATTGCACAATGGAGATGTGCACTGCTCGGTTTTTTGGTCGCATGGTATTCAGACGGATTCTTCTGCATGCAACACAACATTGTTTTGGAATTTCCTGGTTCCTGTTTTGCCAGCCCGGGTGATGGATTCCCCAAGCCTGGAGACCTCCCGACTTGCTGTTGCTGTTCGTTCTGACCCGGAGGCTTCCTGTGTAATCTTACAGCATGCTGCCAAAGGAAGAGACCTCGTGAAGTATTTTGTTGTGTTGCTGGGCCCTGGTTTTACAGCGCTGTTGAGATGGCTCCGTGAGGGTGGCCTTTTCCTGTAAATGCACCCGTGCCGAGGAGATTATGGTGGCGCCAGACCGAGAGTACATTCTGATCGTCATCCAGGAGCGTAACCTCCTTTCCCCACTTCGAAGCACCAGCGCTCAAAGTTGGGACCTGCTTATTGCCCTTCTTCGGCTCGGGTTGAGATTGGCTGCTTGCGACTCATGCAACCGCATCCCCAAGCCGAAGCCGTCGTTGTTCACTCCGAATTCAAAAGCCCACCATGCAAGATGGGACAGTACCTTCACAAGTGTGGCTCCCGAAGCCCGAAACCCAGTGAGAGCCGAAACCACACAAGGCAAAAAACTTTGAGCTGAAGACTCAGCCCTACCTTGACCTCCTCAGGACCCCAACGCCGACCAGGGCACCTAAGCCCAAACGCCGAGACTCAAAGCCAGGGGCCGGCGACGGGGTCTCTTGTCTGTAGCCGCTTTTTTTGCCACTAGCCCAGTGTTCTTCTCTCATGTAGCCCTGCCAGCGCCATTCGAATGTAGTCTTTACTACGTTTTCTTTCGCCTCGAGCTGTAGTTTAGGCCCATGCTCGCGTTATGTTGCCTTGTGTTCCCGGGAAGGGTTTCGAAGTGGATTCAAGATTTCGTTGTCGTGAAGCCCGGCACCTGGTTCTGGCAGCACATATGCGTGTTGTCTCTTTTCGTATCACTGATGCTGCCGCTGCAAGACCTACATGTGCCTGGGGGACGTGGTGCGCCAGTTGAAGAGCAAAAGCGGGGTATTTACGACGCTGCCCAGGCTGCTGGGCCAAGCTTGTGCACCCTGGCCCTGTAGGCATAGTTCTAAAGCGCGAAGGATGCGCAGGCAGAGCCTACGGCAGTCCATGAGCAGCCTCCTGGCTTCCTATTTCGTCCTATTTCCTGCATAGACTCCCAGTTTCAGCAGACACACAGAAGAGTGAACGCATTGGTACACTTGGCACACTCGTTGTGATCAAACTGGTGTAGTTATGGTGAAATTGGGACTGCTGTTTCGTCCTTGCATGAATTCGGTTCAGTGGCACCTGGACTTTCGACGAAGTTCACTTGCTGGCATGTGGCACTTCTCCAAGCGATGCCAGCTTTGATGAAGTGTCATGCTGAAGTAAATTCAATCCGACAAGAGGTCCCGAAGTTTCTCGTGTAAGTGAATGTGAATCTGATGGTACTCCCCTCAGTCTGGCTGTTGAGGCCGGTGTCAAGCTTGCATGGGCACCCGTCAGAACGATCAAGCTCCTACTCGGACCTGTAGGAGGACTTACTTGAAGAGGTTTTGATTCAGCTTTGGGATAGCATCTGCTGGAGAAGCAGCACTTGCATTCAGAAGCCGCCTTGCCTGACGAATGGGGCATCCGCTGGGCTGAAATCGAGTCCGTACCTGCTGAGGCCAAGAGAAAGGAAAAGGAATCGGGATGGATGGTGGGGAGGGTTCTTGCGATTGGCTTTCCTGCAAAACATCCAGTTGAGCTCTTCGGGTGTAGGCAAGCAGTCTTAAAACTAACTGTCTTAAGCACAACCAGGTTTTGCATCTTAACCGCGACTCAAAGCCGGGCAGGGTGTTCGGCGTACTTTTGCTTAAGGCTTCTCCAAGGTTGAGTGCAGAGTCGTGTAACTGGGTTCCCGTTCGCGCGCAAAGCTTGTCCCTGTAATGAACACCCCGGCGAGAGGTGAAGAATGGCCTCTACCATCCCCTGTCGCATCTTCTGGCAGACATGCTGGTGGAGATCTCGGATTCGGGGGTGAAGGGCGGAGCATTTCCAGTCTGCGGCACTCGTAATTTCAAAGGTTCTGGGTGTAGTAGAGACTCTCCAATCTGCACATGGTTCTTAATGTTGCTGGCAGATAGGCCCGTGCCCGAGACGTCAAATCATGTCAAGCTGCTTGCAGCTCTCTTCCGGGCAATAAATACGCCGTAAATACGCTGTCTCCGAGAAAGCTGCAGTCAGAAAGGGAGAGACAGCGTGTTTGCTGGTGATTTTTTGGGATCAGATTTTCAGTCTGTATGTTCAACTTACACGGCGACCCAGTGGGACTTGCAAAGGTTACAGGCCGAGGCTTTTGGATTGTGAATTTGGGCCCCTCCGCTTCAGGTTCACGTGCCCATTTGGTTCTTGCTCGCTGCTTCAGCCATTGCGCCCTCCAGTCTTATCCTGGAGCTGGAAGGGGGAATGCGGTGCAGTAACATGCGTTGCTACCGAGATGGCCTTGCTTCTCATCGTAAGGCCTGTCCATAAGTAGTAAAATGCTGCGGCATGTAGCGGTGAAGCATGCTTCGATCTTGTAATGGATTAGACACGGCAGCCTCGTGATTCGGGTCTGGCCAAAGTGCACGTTGTCGGATTTCCCGTGTAGTTTGCAACTCAGCGTTTCGGAGTTCTCTGTCTGTGTGTGTGTGTGTGCACGCGTGCCTGGCTAGCAAATTTTTCAATATCAATACCGGGTTGCTGACCCGAGAGCCTCAAGCAGCATCCGCAGGCCCAGAACGAGCTCAAAGGCTAGTGGGCTTATTGAAACCGATCTTCCAGACAGCAGTTGGATCCTTCGAGACAAAACGCACATGTGGTAGTCGGCTTTTAAGTGCCAGTTCGCGACTTGTTGCGCTCTGGGGAAATTCCCGGTCACCTAATATTGCATGAAATCTTTTCCAGGACACGCCGGTGATTCACACGCCAGAGCTGTGGTTACTGTTGGCCTGGAGCTCGAAGGGTAGATGGTTCGTGGCATCAAGTAAGAATAGCGCCAGACAGCTCACTGCCCCCATGCCTCCAAAGATCCCAGTGAAGGAAAGCATGTCGGGAAACCGCTCCAAATCAGGAAGAAAGTGGGGATTCTTTTGAGTAAGGCGTGGCTCATTCTGCTGTAATCACAAAGCCCTCAAGTCCGCAAACCGGTGTTTCAACCACACTCCTTTGCCAAACTTCATGTTCGTAGCCTTGGCCTGACAGCCAGGGACAGTCTAGCCGCTCGAGTCGAGCCCCTACCTATCGGGATGAGGTGAACCAAGTAGGCTTGCAACGGAGGCTGCATACATTGGCTTCAACGACACCTTTGCGCAGCTTTGCGGTGCCAATCGTGCTTTCGGGGGATGTCTTGTCTTTCGAGGAGTTTGGCTATTCTTGAAGTTTGCTTGCGGGGGCTACCAATCGAGACGCCCCCAGTTGGATTCGCGTGATATGCACTTTCATGTTCTGGCGACCGCTCTCTTTTGGCACAATCTAATCGTCTTCAATGGCTAATGTGATGTGTAGCCTGCTCTAGACCACGCAAAGCTGGGAGCAAAGCTGCCGAAAATAACCTACAGAAGTACCTAACGTCTTCGGTGTCTTGTTGCCTTTACGAGGGACCGCGCAGCATGTAGAATCTCAGGGCCATGGAGGTACGGAAGCTTGTTGGTTTTCGTTGCGGTGGTGTTGGGTTCCGGACATTGGTCCCGGTCTCACCCGCGAAGCTCTGAACTCTGATTCTCCACGCAATCGCATTTAGAAAATGCAGCCCCATCGATCTCACCGGTTCATCCGTGAATATTCAGTCTAAGGCCAACTTCAGCTTCAAACTTGAGCAGCTACAGCCCGAACCTATACAAATCCACCCGGACCCGGAGACCTGGCAAACGACCTCAACCCAAACAATGCTATTCAAGCAGTGCATCGGAGGCGGCCTTGGAACGGGAAGTCCACTGGGCATCATGGTTTTTCTCATGCAGACGTCGGGAGCCCCAAAGACCAGGTCGGTGGATCTGCACGTTGGCTTCTGTGCAAAAAGGACCCAGGCCTGCAGCTATGCAGGCTATGCAGGCACGACCTCAGCCAAAAGGCTTTTTCTTCAATCTCCACAGATTCTCCACCACGCGTTGCGGCCCGACATCCCCCAGCAGTTCGCTTTGGTCTGGCGAAGGGGATGGGGGTTTGCGGTGCCCACGTCAGAACGAAGGATCTTGAACATGATCTTCGACGGCACCCTGCTGGCCCACGAAGGGGAGGCCCGTCAGGTTTCTGGAGCCCACGACCCTGCGCCCGAGCCGCGGCTAGTCAGGACAACAACAACAACAACCCAGTTCGTTGATTTTTCTCGGAAGGTTTGTCAGATTAGGAGTCAATTTTGGAACAGTCGGGCTGGAGAGGTTTGTTCTTGGAAGTGACACCCTTGGACCAGACACAGGTGAAGGCCTGAGCCATTCCAGCACATCCGGACAAATCGAACGGGCACCGGATGCTGCACAAGGGAGCCCGGGCCAAGTCGACCTTAGTATGTGTTCTTTCGACCCTGTGAAACAGGTTCCGTGGATGATGCGTTGGCTTTTCTACGCCTGGGGCTCGGGGCAGGGCGCAAATTTCCGTTTGGGATTGCGGTCTCCATGCTTGGCATCTCGGCTGTTTCTGGCTGTTTATGGTGATGATGCTCATAACGACCATGCAGAGAGCCAGAGGGAGATCTCGGGTGTGATCATTCTGAGACCTGTGCAAACTGCTAGCCATTGTAGTCGTGGAAACATCGAGCACTGGGTTCTGATTATGTTGAGAATACGCACGGTCTTGCAAGGACTAGTCTCAGCAACAGTGCGAAGGATAGGCTGACAATGAAACCAGGAAGCCAGCAGTGCCAGCAGCAGTGCAAGCAGCAGTGCCAGCAGCAGCAGCAGCAGCAGCACCAGCACCAGCACCAGCGCCAGCACCAGCACCAGCGACAGCGCCAGCACCAGCAGCAGCAGCAGC